CTGTTTCCCCAGTTCGCGTCCCGCGTAAACTCCCTCTCCGCTTGCTCCACCTTCTCTCGGAAAAAAAAACAAGAAAGAAAAAACTGGCTTTTCATTTATGCGCAGCCCCGGAATCTTTTCTAAGCGCCAGTGAACCCTAATAGAGAAAGCAAGGTCATAGAATAAGGTGTCCCAGCTGTGGCTGCTTCCAGCGCAGGGAGAGGCACCCATTCTGGCAGAAGATTGGGGGGGGGGGTTTCTTTGCCCGGAGGTGTGATTTTTCTGGCCCCCAGCCAGGACTTCTCTGCTGGGGCTGAAGTCCTGCGGTCCCTTATCTACGTTCCGTTCGTGGACCGGAGGACGCTTCGCTCCCGGGAACAAATGCAAAAAGTTAATCCAGGCATTTTGGTTTCTAACCGTGCCCAGTCCTCAGGAATCCTACTCTTACCCCAAGACTCAAAGTCTTGAGCTTCTGCTCAAATCCATCCAATCCCTCCTAACTTTTGCGCTGCCCGAAGAAGCCGATTGCAGTCCTACGTCCCATTTCCAGGGGATCTGTTTTGCACGCCGCCGCCCCCTCCCCCGGGTATCTTTTGCCTAAAATACAGGCAAAGATTTCCAGGCCTATCTTATCGAACCGAAAGCACTGCACATGTGTGTATGGTGTTTAAGAAGGACTAATAAATATAAATGTAGCTTTTCCCAGAAGGGAACAGCTGAACAGTGAGCCATTACTGCACATTAATGCGGCATAGACTATATTAATTATCTAGTTAAGCGTCAACTAGATATTACCAGTAACTAGATACATGGATGGCTTGAAGTTGTACTTAAAAAAGATTCTGGAGTGCCACAAAAGTCAGCCCTGGGCCCTGTCCTTTCCAACATTTTTATTAAAGACCTGGATGTGGAAGTGGAGGAACCTGCTTATCAAATTGACTTGTGATTCAGAAAGACAGAAATAAAAATGCTTCTGGCAGGTTAAAGAAATGGGCTAAAAATAACAAAATGTAAAGAGAGAAACACAAGCATCTTTATTTCAGAATCAGAAATGGAATGAAGAGATGGCAGATACTTTACTTAAAAACAGTGTTTGTGAAGTTGTGGTGCCCCGGGGGGAGTGGGGTGGAGCAAGGTCCGTCTACACATTTGCTCCCACACCCCGGAATTCTAGGCAGGATTTGTGGGGCTCTGTGACACTTTTGGCCAAAGACACCTAGCAGAGTTTCTACTTCTGTGTGTACTGTGGACAGCAGCATTTTAAAGGCCCAGTCACAGCATCAGCCAGTCAGAAGGAGGACCATAAGGGTACAGACCACCTATTGGTTTGCAAGAGCATGCTTTATATCCCACCTTTCCTGCAAGGGCTCAAGGTGGTGCACCTTGCCTTGAATCCTCCCATTCATCCCCCCAACAATCACCTAGAGAAATAGTTTGGGGAAAGTGTTACAGTATTGGCCCAAATTATTTATTAGATTTATAGCCTGCCATTCATTTAGGAGCTCAAGGCAGTATACATAGCACTCTGTCCTCTTACTTTTCCCAGCAACGACCCTGAGAGGTAGATTGGGATGACAGAAAGGGCCTTGCCCAAAGTCACCCTGGGATCTTCAGTGGCTAGAGGTAGAATTGAACCAGGTCTCTGCACTCCTGGCCCAACACCTTAACCATATCAAATATTATATATTTAAAAATTGAAATATTAAATCCAGAAGAGCTGAAGAAGTCTCCTATTCCATGGCACACTGAAATTCTGAAAAATAAAACAACAACTGAAGAAAAATTGGAGCTTGAAACTTTTTGAAATAAGCATATATTTTTGTGGACTTGCCATCAGAAATTCTGTTTATTTCCACTGTTTTGTTTCTGCTGGAATAATTCGGAGCATAAACTTGAAACCATCTATTCAAATAGCTGTAAGTTAAAATACTCCCATGAACGTTTCAGACACTTTGAGGAAAGAAACAGGACATGCTGGGTTATATTTTGAGAGCAGTGATCTTCTGATTGGGCAACCCCACCTTGCCCTAGAGATAGATTTTCTCTGATTGGCTCTAAGTAACTGCCCAGTCTGGCTAGCTGGGCTTAGAAACTTAGTAGGGATAAACCTAGTTAGTACTTTGATGGGAAACTTCTAGGGAATTTCAGGACTGTAGGTGAGACTGGGGAAAAACATCTCTACAGAAAAACTATTCTGTACTCTTGCTAAGAGAAATGCACAGATATGTTCATGAGTTAAGCTTGATTAAAGGAGAATTTACTTCACCTAACCACCCCTGTGAGAGCCAGTTGGGTGTAGTGGTTAAGGCACTGGGCTAGAAACCAGGAGACTGTGAGGTCTAGTCCTGCCTTAGGCACGAAGCCAGCTGGGGGACTTTGGGCCAGTCACTCCCTCTCAGCCCTAAGAAACCACTTCCAAAAATGTTGCCAAGAAAACTTGGCAGAGAAAGACCTGTCCATGTAGGTGCCAGGAGTCAAGATTGACTGGAAAATACCAAATAAATAAATAAAACAAAACTAGTCCTATACTTGCAAAACATATTACCTCACTGTGATTCTACCATGTATAGGTGGAGCTGCAACTCACGGGTGATTTTATGCTCGTCACTCTTAGCCCGGTCTACCTCAAAAGGTGGTTGTATGAACAGAATTAGGGGAGATCCCCATGTAAGCCAATTTTTCTCACAGCGAAAAAAAACCCAGGATGTGAATATAACAGTAAGTACACAAGTAACATCAATCACCAGAGTATTGTGCACATACAGGTAGTCCTTGTTTAGTGACCACAATTGGGACCAGCAACTTGGTCATTAAGCAAAGCAGTCACTAAGTGAAACATCACGATTTTACAATCTTACTTCAGCTCTCCTTTGCTTTACAGACCTCGTAAATGTGAGGACTGATCACAAGTTACCTTTTCATCATTGTAACTGTGAACGGTCACTAAACAAGACAGTCGCTAAATGAGGACAACCTTTACTTATTGCTGTATTGCTTGCATATGAACAATATGCGTCTTCTCATTTATTTATTAGATTAATATCCATGCATTTTCTTCAGGAGCTCAAGGGGGGACTTATTTATTTATTTGTTTGTTTATTTATTTATTAAATTTATCTCTGTCCATCTCCCCCTAATGGGGGACTCTGGGCGATTCACAAAATCCATTAAAACAATAAATATATAAAACATAAAAACTGTACAAAACATTACCAATCAAGAAAAAGTCCAAGAGGCTGATGATTACCAGAGCTGCAGACGACAGGGCTAGCCATGCCCACACTTGCTGACTTCCCTCCCCACCCCAGGCCAAGTGGCAGAGCCAGGTCTTCAGATCTCTCCGGAAGGCCAAGAGTGAGGGGGCCAATCTCACCTCCCGGGGCAAGATATTCCAAAGGGCAGGGCTACAGCAGAGAAGGCCTGCCTTCTGGACCCCACTA